ATCTACATTGTACTAATTGTTGTTTTCTTTACCCTTTATACTTAAATACTTTATATTTACATCTGGAGCGGGTCCTCTCTACGGAAGCCGCCGTGCTTTTTACAGTAGTTCAAACTGGACACACTAAATATCTTTTGAGTTTTTATGACAACTGAAGGCTAACACAGGTTCTTCTTCATGTTTGGAAGGAGAGCGTGAGGTGAGGGGGTGTTCAGCTGCAACGTGCAACTTCACCACTAGATGTCACTAAATTCTACACACTGAACCTTTAAACCTCTCCCAGCACAGGAGCACAGCATGAGGTGATGAAGGTGATGAAGGTGATGAAGGGCCTCATCTTTACTCCTCTGTCGTAAATAGATAATAGATAGATAAGGACCTGGAGGTTTGAAGGGCCCCGGGGATCCAGCTGTGGCAGCCCCTCCTCGGCTGTGCACTGACCTTTGTCCCTTAGTTTTCAAATCGCTCTTGAAATAATGAAACCCAACAAATGAAGGAGCCCCCCCACACCACTGTAACTCTGAGTGAAGTCAGTGTTGAGGAGCTTTGATATTTCCGGTTTATAAAACCTGAGATAAAGGCCAACCTGCTGCACCTGTGTCCTGCAGCTCATACAGATATCTACAGGCTGATGCTGCACATGGCGACAGGAAATGAGTTTTAATCGACACAGAGAGCAAACAGTGCAGCGTGTCACCTTCCTTCACACGCAGCGGAGATAACCGAGCTGACAGACAAGGTGTTAGCAGGCTGAGCTAAGCTAGCTAGCAACATCTGTCAAAGAAGACATCTGGAGCATTTCCGCCCTGACAGCCAGCAGGAAGCTCACCGACCTTACAGATGTCGATGTGTCCTGTGTCTTTGTCTTCACGTTAACACGAACCAGGCCCGGACATCCTCTGGTTCAGCCGCCGGGAGGAAGTCGCACATCAGCCGCCTTCAGGGAGACGAAGATGCCACGGAGGAGACGAGCTCTGCGTGATGCTAACTGTTAGCATCACAGCTACTTCTGGTTCAGGACCTTCAAAATAAAGGCACGGATCTCAGTTCATGGTTTACTTGCTCACTTGTTCTGGAGATTTTGACAATTTCCCAGTTTAATTACCAGTAGAAGACACTAAACACATAAAACAAATGGAACTCGATACAATGTTTTCTTTTTACTATGACTATAGGCTGTGAACAAATGAAATTCATCACATCAATATAAAATAATTATTATATTCTTAGAGACGAACAGAACCTTGAACACGTTTATATATGTTATTCTTCACATTTAAGAGTATTTATATTAACATCCTCTTAGAAACTATCAGTTATATTAGTACTTCTGTTGTTTTCATTGTATTCTGTAACCATAGACTCTGTTGAGTGTTTTACTGTTTATGGTTGTGGAACATTTTCTTGCTTTATTTCATATAGTGTGGGATGATAACATCTATTTCTAGCCTCCTTTGGTCTGATTAAAACATATTTATTTGTTTATGCTTCTTCTATTTCAATTGATGAGGATATTTTGAGTTTGAGAAAATATTTTGAAACTCTGCAACGCTTTACAAAACCGGAAATAGTCTCCCAGATGGTTTTATCTGCCTTGACGAGTGGATGCGAGAAGCCACGTCACATTACAGAGCGCCACCTAGAGGTGAAAAATGATTAAAAATCAATTCTTAAAAAAAATCAGCTTCATCCTAACTTTGTTTTCCGGATCCTCTGACCTCATAGATTTTTATAGTTTGATATAAATGGCTTTATTTCTTACTCACATTTATATTTGAATGTCCTGAGACTGCACAGTTTAAATGAATGTAATAATGTAGTAATCTACCTTTTTTATTTTCTAGTTCTACTTAAAGAACTACATAATCATGTGTAGGATTGTTCGGCCCTGGCAGAAGCGTCCGCTCTCTTCAGTGCCACTCTAGTTTCCATCAGTTTTACTCATCTGTCACCTCTTTGGTAAATACCTTGTGAAAATAAATCATTACAAACGCTAAAACAAGAAGGTCAATCTGTATCAGTTTCCTTCAAATGATCAAAAATAAATCAATAAAATGACAGAGTGAGTGTGTTTCACTGAGACCGAGTACAGCTTTATTAAAGTCAAACTTCAGGCATGTCTGAACTCTTCAAACTCAACTTCAAAATGAAAAAGGACAGGATCAATATTCTCAAATAAAAAGACAGTCATGTACAAAAAGAGTGTCGTCTCAACAGTCACACACACATTTAGAAGCAGAATTGTACAAGCAAAAAGAGCACGCCACAGTAACATGATTCTATGCAAGTTCAATGCAAACTATTTACAGGTTCCTCAACAATATGCAGTAACACAGGTTGAACAGTAATCAACATGGTAATTTTGTGTTCATCCACGTTTTACTTGAAGCAACACCACGAGATAGATATGACCCCAGTTAGAGTTACCGTAAGCAATTTTACTACGAGAAAAAATAGATGAGTGCTAATGAAGGTGAATTCATTTATTTAGTCCAACACTAAATCTCCTGTGACAGCATGTCAATTAGAAACTCATTGACTGTTGGCGACATTGCACAAAAACTAAAAAGACGTCACAGTCAACATAAACATACCCTTTGACATACTAAATTTAGTTTTAGATAAAAAATAATGATTAGCAAATTCATGGACACTCCCCAGACGAATGTAAGGGTCACTTAAATGAGAACAAGCATGCTGTCTTCTCAAAATCAAAATGTGGGCACGATACTGAGAGTAAACAAAACACATACATCAGATAGTATTTTAGGTGAATGAAATGATGCACGCTGGGGACACTTAAATTAGGCCTTTTGTAATACTGCAGCTGTTTCAGCTGAGAGGGGCAGAAGAGGACAAACAGGCACAAAACAAGATTAACATGCGACCTGCAGGTGCAAAAAAAAACAACCTAATAAAAAGTAAGGGCTATTCGGTTTTACAGAATCTCTGTGCAATATTAGAAAGAAAAATAAACAAGGACATAAACAAACACTAGCACTAAAACTAGGCATTTAAAGAAGTGAATTAAACCAGTGTGTGGTGTTGGAAACATGTATAAAGAAAAGGGCTGACAAAGACTTTAAGACCAGTTTCAACATCACAACTAATTTAGTCAGACTTGTTCTCTGAAGCCACAAACACAAGTCAAAGATGCTGCACCCTGATAATCACATATACTGTATATGAATCCAATGTTAAAAAATAAAAACACATCAATAAATAAAACAAAAAAATGTAGAAAATTCAAGTTTTGAGTATGCAAGTGAAAGACCTCTAAATTATGGTAAAGAATAATAAATCTTTAATTAAAAAGTTTGGCAAGATTAGGAAATTTGGGTTAGCTGCACCAGGAAATCAGCAAAGGTATCCATGATTACAGAGAGAAAAGGAGCTGCAGAAAATACAATGTGCTAAATGTGTGCACAAATACAGACATGCATGAAGAACACAGTTTCTTGTATTCTTTCTCCAGATAAATGTCCGTCTTTGTGCATATATTTGGCATAATGAAATCCCTGTTATCTCAAAAACATGTTTGGCTAATTGTAACTTGACTTCAGTGCTTGACGTTCACTGTGCAGTAACAATACACGAGCAGAGTTTGGACACTACAAGATATTTTTAAATAAATTTGATGGATGAATTCAAAACAATGTCTCATATACTTTTGACGTCAAATAAACACTGAACATTATTGTGACGGGGTAACATAAAAACCATCAATACACACACACTGAAGAGTGGACTCTTCAGTGAAGGTAAGAATATTTGCACATTTGTAAATTCTGGATATTCCAATGAGAGCAAAGGAGTTCATGTCATTTTAGCTTGTTTTTTATTTATTTATTATTATTGGATTCGTTTAAAATGTCTTCTTAATTGTATGTTCTGCACTCACTGGCTCCACTTCTTTTTTCTTATGTAAAGGCTTTTGGCTTCATGATTAAATGTATTAAGAAAACTGATCGGAAACTAAAACAGTCTGATGGCACTCCTCAAATCCTGCCTTCATGTTCAGGTTTTGTTGAAACTGTTTTGTTGTTGAACTGTGTCATTGTAACATAATGCATTCACAAACAACCTAATGACTACAAACTGAACATTAACCTAATTAAAGGAAGGATTAAATGCATGACTGCTGAGATAAACTGCATTCGTTTTAAAAACATGTGCCTCACAAACAAACAAAGTGAATCTACTTCATGCATTCAAAGAGACTATGAATGAACTGAATTGGTTTGGAAACATTGGCACCGTTTCACCCTGTAGCTTCGGCTTTAAACACCCACCACTGCGGGAGGCTTGAAAAAAAAAAAAAAAGACTTAAGGGAAGGAGAAGAAAAACAAAAGCAGTTGTGTAATCAGGGAAGAATCACAAGCAAAAGGCTGAGGCATGATGACAGGAACGCTTCCTCCTGTGATGATCACTTGAGTCCAGGCATAAACTGTACAAGACCTGCTCTGAAAACTTCACATTCCAATATTGAACTGCTTCACGAGTACAGTGAGCCACGATACAGGTCGATGAGCAGCAGCTGTTACCAGATGTGGAATCATTACACCAAAGTTAAAAAAACCCTAACATGTGCAATGACTGGATACAGATATAATATGTAAAACTCCCCGTGTTTTTTTTAAATAGTCTATTTCACTTACACCGTGGTGGAGAGGAGACAGGTTACTGTACTGGTGTCTGAAAAAGAAACTGGTATAAAATGTGGTGCAATAAATACAAAAAAATTGGATTTGACAGATGAGTGATTAAAAACACTGTACAGGAGTTTGTATTTTGTACATCATCATACTGGACTGTTGCTATACCGACATGTCTTTATATAAAGCCCAGCCTTGAGGAGAATCTCCAGGTGGAAAGAAGCATCCCGAGGACACTGAGGACTTTTCCGTATGAAGCCAGACTGGCAGTCATTTCTACTTGTGCCCCCAAAAAACAAAAAAAAAAACAGCTTTTAGGCCACTTTCCTCAAAAAAAGAAAAAAATCTACGCCCAGCACTCACCACGTCTCTGACAGAGAGCAAAAAACACAGTTTAAATCCCGACGGTACTACAAGAAGAAGAGGTATCCATTTTGAAACACTTGTCATATGTTCTTTAAATATACATTTCTGTATATGACCTAGCTAAATTGTGTAGCGACAAGCCGTGTGAAAGTGCTTTTCAGAAAAGTTTGGCAAAACAACCAACGGAAGATAATAAAAAAAAATAAGGAAGAAAGGAAAAACGAGCATTAAAGCGGTCACAGTACACAGCGTTACTGACATGAACTGCATCTGGGCAGTAGTTGCTACAGCCAGAATCAAACTTCAGGCTGGTTAACAATACTTTAAGACAGCACCAGTGATCACAAGCTGGGCTCCTCCATCTACAATACAAATAACAGTAACTGCTCGGAGGAAATGTGTGAACGGAACATTTATCCAAAAAGAAAATAAAAAGGTTCTGTCTTGTCGTTTTAAAAAAGCGTTTTCCTTCTTCTAGGAACAACCAAAGAGGCAAGGCTCCGTCCCTCCTGATCTTTAAGTACTTTACAATATTATGAGCCAATTATGTACACAATGGCGAGTGAGACTGGCAATATGAAAATCACAAGTACTTCTGTAATGTCATACCATTACACTATATACCATTATATTTCACCTTAATAGGACTATTTTCACAAAGAGGTCTGCGTAATGCTTAACACCTAAACAAACAAACATAATACACCACTCACTGAGATGAAGTGAGAGAATCTGCCTGTAAACATTAACAAACATAGATACTGTATATAATTATATTCATCTATACCCATAAGTATATTAAAACCGTGTTTAAGGAAGGTTGGAATGTAGTGTGGTCCTGAAAAAAGTGCACAAAATCGATCTTTCCCTCCCTCCCACCCCTTACTCCTTTTCTGCAAGGACAAGAAGAGATAAAATACGATGACAGATCACGTCAGGGAGAGATGGACAAAGGCCGGCTCATTTCCATGAAGCCATCTTGTGTTTGAGATGCCGACCACAGCGTACAGC